ATAATGTATCTTTAAAAGTACACACACACACGCACACACACACGCACACCCTACCCTACCGTGTTTCCTTGTGCTGTATTCTGGGGCATTTGACTGCTAACAACACGGTAGCTCAGTAAGTAAGGCGTCGGCTCATTATGAGATCCCGGCATTGGAAAGAGGGTTCCTCGAGATTCTTATAGTGGGATATAACCTTGTCATTGGTATAGGGAGCATAACAAGGAATACCATCTAATCGTTCGGATGAGAGTAAACCCAGGGCTGTAAAAATGTTAGTGTGCACGTAAAATTACCATTGATAGCAGGAGCTTCGCTGGGAGTAAACGACAACGCCTCTATTGGCACACTGCATGACGTATTCCTGTTGCTAATAGCCCGTTTGGTGCAGAACAACGGGACGTCAAATCCTATCTCGTTTAAACGCCATGGTGAAATGCACTCTGATACACAGCTGTAATATTTGTCCAAAAAGTGTAACACGGGGTACAACTACACAATTTAAAGGGACAGGGAGAAATAAATGGGGTTTAACGTTCACTCGACACACACTAGGTCATTTCGGGACTAACACAATTTTATTCAATAATTCGCTTGCGCGTAGGGTTCTTTAGCAATGGGAGGAAACCGGACAGACTACCATACTCCTTGTCACGTACAACAGGGGAATCGGAATCAAAACCACGCCAGTTGACTCAATGACAGACCTTATGATACAGCGTGCACGTGCTAACGTGCTAATGTAGAGGATTCTAATGGCTTTTAACACACAAGATTAAACAGTTTTATTATCCCAAATATAATTGAGATTGACCCTTTAAAAACCAATGCTCCGGGTTTACCCTATGACACAATGGTCAATCTACGTAATACTGAACATATTATATTACGAATCCAGTAGACGAAGCGTCTTGATGACATTGATGATAATATTGCCCTTCAAATTTATTTTAGGTTGTTTCTCGGAAACCTCCAATTATCTGCAAATGGTATTAAGTAGCCCGTTTGTTATTTGGTTGTATTTCTCTGACATTTCATTTTATTAAATATTATTCGTGGATTTGTAACTTGTACATTTGAGTATGTATGGTATATTTACCGTCATTGATCAATATCGACGTTTGATGTCACAACATTTACACGTATCGCGAAATCCACTATAAAGTGAGTTTACAAAGTATGTGCACTGTTACTTAAAAGGCCCAGTCCCAGTGACCGATGGACACAAAACGTATGCAAAAAGGACACAGCGGACGAGCAAACTTTCGGGGATGGCGCCATCCGTTTTCATCCGCTCCAGAAATGGACAAAATTGACGAAAATTTGCGAAAACAGAACGGAAAAGAACGAACGTGGGAAGTATGTAGCGGGGATGTTAAATGGATGTTCATCGGAAGCCTAGCGGATGAAAGCGGATGGAAGTGGGTGACAACTCCGAAGGGGTTAGGCAAACTCCAGACATCCTTCAATATACCAGATACAACCCAGATACAAACGCTTTGTCCGTTTTGAAAACTTTATATACGAGATGCATACGCTTACATCCTTTCTATTTCCGTGCTACGATGTACCTTATCTTTCCTCGCTCTGTCCGTTTTCAACTGGAGCGGATGTGAGTTGCGAGGATGCCCAGAAGATTCAGAGAGGATACAGTGGACGTTTAACGGATGATAACGGATATGGAACGTTTGGTGCTCGTTTATGTCGCGCATTTACATCGTACACGGAAGATAGTTCATCCGTTATAAAAGTTTTGTGCAGCTCAAAATTTTTTGCGCGGATGAAATCAAAGTGAACGGATGCTCGATGGATAGAGCGTATGAAACACGTATGCAATGAGTACACAACGGATGCATAGCATTTTCAAACCGAGGGCACGTTTTTTTTCCAGTTTTACATCCTCTTTGCATCCGTAAGTGCAGTGGGACCGGGCCTTTACACTAACGAAGGTGGAAAATAACAATCGGTGTCCTTGGTCCAAGCCAGGCACCAAAGCACGTTATTATTATTATGCTGTTGTTTTCCCCGAAGATTCTAATCGAGGTATGTATTACGCCAAAGTGTACATATCTGTTTACTAAAAAACAAAATTTCCTCAAACTCAAGGATTGACGAAAATTAGCGTGTAGATTCCAAATTTGGTGTTTTATTTATTACTTTACTTCCGATCCCCCCCCCCTCCCAAAAAAAATATATATACATGTACCCCTTTGTGCATTTGAACATGGGAGCAGGGTTCTAAATGAAATGATTATTAATATAATTAGGTATATTTTTTTTTAAGTTTACGAGGTTTAAGTGTCAACAAGATTTTGCTATTAATTATAAGATGTACGTTTATTTCAGTGATACTACTGGTTTTGTCATGTGATGGATGTTATACTAATTACAACAATTGCCAACAACGATATTTTACTGATGCTGGCGCAGCAATTAGCAGTGATCCATCATTGGCGCAACAGCAGCTCTGTGGGTGCGTTTTTAATCAGTGTGGCGATTCAGTTCAGTTCTTATTCATGCTTTTTATACTGGATGAAAGCTTGCATTTGTTCTCAAACATACACATTTAATATTTGCTGTTTACATTCTCTTCTATTTTACTGTTTCACTCTGCAATAGATTCCATCCTGTTTAACTGTGATTTTGTCACCCTGCTAGAAACGACCGCCACTCTGGTTCATATGAATTGTTCCTTCATACAACAATGTATGGCTGATGTCGATCCCGGCATGCCCCCGCCCCCCCCCCCCCTGTCAGTGATGCAGGACGGAGGGCCTGACAAGGACAGCTCTCTAGTCGTTCGGATGGGACAAAAAAGAGGTCCCGTGTACACATTGGCGTGCACGTAAAAGATCCCTTGATAGTTGGAATTCGATATAAGAGTAGGCCGTAGTGCGGCTGTCCGGGCAAAATTTCCCTCATAGCACACTGTATGGCGTATGCCGCCGTCCGGGCAAAATTTCCCTGATAGCATACTGTATGGTGTATGTCCGTCTTCGTTAGCCCAGTTCGGCGCAGAACAGTAGGACGTTAAACTCCATTTCATTCCATTCATGGCTGATGTCCTCTTCATTAGCCAGTTCGGTACAGAATAGATGGACGTTTAAGCACATTTCATTCATGCTTTCTGCTTTAGACCTAAAAAGGCTTTAATGCATTCTTTACTATCCATTATCCGACGTTTCGGGAAAGGCATTAGTAATTTGTTTTGCAGTGTTATATCCGATGACGTAATGGTCACATATTAAATATTTTTACAGATCAGCGACAACGGTCATGACCTGTTTAGATAATGACGCAGCTAACTGTCCTGCAGGAAGTGTTGAACCCCCAGGATTTACCCAGATTAAAACGACAATAAGCAACACAGTAATTAGTTGTGAAATGTGTAAGTAATTGTTTTCATATTGGCAACATACGACTCATAAGTAGTATTACTAGTCTTCCCAACCTTTAATTGATTGAATAAAATCATTTTTGGCGGCTGTGGAACTTGCCGATGGAATATGATGTATGTATCTAGACTGCTTTTTGGAAATGTTTTATTGTGATATCGTTCCAGTTGCCTGTGCACTTAAACAGCAGGTTTGCGACAACCAGACTCTTGAAGCTTACACCAAGTTACAAACACCAAACCAAGGAAGCCCTGGCGCTGCGTCTATTGCAGCATTTTGCGCGTAAGTTTCGTAGTTTAGTTTCAGTAATCAAGGTGTGTATAATACAATATTTGATCAAAAAAATAATATAACTAAAATACATTTCATGATTTCAGACTTCTTTTAATCGGGTGAAACGCATCGGGTGAAACATTTCCAAATAAATGTCATCAAAAGAAGTTTATTTGTATTGGTGACCATATGTTTTAAACAGATAAACTCCCTCAATTTTATTTTGTTAAATTAGATTTCAAAAATATTTCCCAGCCAGAGCTTCAAAATATTACCAATAGTTAGGATGTTTACTTTTAAGCGTATCATGGCGTCTATCACGAATACTGTTCGAAATATTCATGGCGATTACGGTGACCCAAAGAATTGTTTGGACAGATTAACAGGAAGTCAATTTATATATTACACGTACATTCCCTGTAACTCACAAAATGAATCGGTTTCAGTGAAATGCCGATTGCAGTAGATTGTTACAGAAAGGTTCAGATGGAATGTTCAGTTATTGACATGAACAGTACCATTGAAACGTATTCTTCGCTAGTGGTTCAAACATGCGGTGGTGGCGGAGGTGGAAATTGTAAGTAGAAAGTTTGATGTCATTAAAAAAAGATGGAAATGACGTCAAATTACTGCAACTTCGTTACTATTATTTCATTGCATATGCATTATTATGTAAATGCTTTATAATTATCAGTTATTTATTACATATCGTACATAAGACATGGTTGTGGGAGCTGGGGTGTGATTGAACGAGCTTTCACGAGATGTAAAATCAATCTACTCTAAAATTAAAAGTGCAAGCCGGTCGTATATATTACAATACGAGTGTCTTCGTATGAACAAATTATTAAAACAATCTTTTATTGTAATACTTATTCTATATATATATATTGAACAAAATCTAGGGCGCCATCCACAATCCCACTCAACAATGAGTGTCAACAAAATACTGGCTATAAAACTAGAACATAGATCGTATTGCCTATATTATATAGTTGTTCGCCGATCTTTACCTCACTGGAAAGCAGTTTTATTCAAGTTCATGTAATATTATGATTGTTACTGATTTTGTTATTAAGTGTGTGAACCTAAATCCGCGCCTGGTGAACCTGTCTCCTGTCGCTTTTTCGATATTTTTGTTTAAACAATAATTTGATTCTGGATATCTAAATGGGGTTGGGGAACAGGCTTACGTGTTGGATTATATTATGCGCTTTGACGATATAAATCTTTCTATCTGTTTAATTGAAAATAAGTTTATTATGGATCCTTTATTTTTCTTTTGACTTGCAGCAAATAGCTGTTTTCAGAAAGTTTTCGAGTGTGAAAATTATTCAATCGAGATTGCAGATATTGTAATTTCCATAGATTTTACAGATCCAACAGCTCTACAAAGTGTATCCTCAACGATGTGTCCGTAAGTTTCTATTTGTTCGACATAATATCAGCATATCAACAGGGAATTAGAATATGAATGAGTATCATATTCCTTCTTTCAAAATTGTAATGGTGTATGATTTGTTTCAAGACCGCTTAATACTAAAATGAAAACTGAGTTCAAAACAAAAAAAGTAGACATAGAACAGATGGTCATGTGAACAGATTGCAATAAAGACACCTAATACAAACTTCACCATTAATCTTAAATGTAATATGTTAACAGTTTGAAGTTTATCAACACAGGAATAATATCATCCTGATTATCTTTGAAACAGACAGACCTTATTTGGCTAACAAATAAAATTTTCAGAATAATTGTCATACAAATGTATGATTTTCTGCATGTTTGTTTCGAGCTCAGGGGGGGGGGGGGGTGTTGGATGGCTGAATGGTTAACGTGCGCGCCCTGTATCATAAAGTCTGTCATTGAGTCGACTGGCGTGGTTTCGAATCCCCGGTTGTACGTGACAAGGAGTAGGGTCGCCTGTCCAACCTCGTGGGTTTTCTCCGGGTCCTCCGGTTTCCTCCCACTGCTAAAGACCCCTACGCGCAAGCGAATTATTGAAATAAAATTAAACCATATGTTAGTCCCGAAATGACCTAGTTTGTGTCGAGTGGACGTTAAACCCCATTTCTCTCTCTCTTGTTTCGAACTCATCGAGACCAATATATGAATAGCAATAGTTCCATATATTATAGAGTTCAGCGACAGTTTAAATAAAACGGAGATAATCAAGTTGGAATATCAATGATTACTATATTATGTCTTTCAGTACATTTAGTAAGATCACAAGGTGTTACAGTGAACTGACAATTATGTGTCCCAACCAGGATTTTGCGAATGTCACATCTGTCTTAGATACTGTTGAACCATTGATTGCACAAATTTGTGGAACCGATACAGGTATGAACTCATGGGATTTTTATGGCAAATACACAGTAGTAAGATTAAACTGTGGTGCAGGGAGGCGGCCTGACAAAGGGACAGCGTATAGTTGTTGGGATGGGATGACCAAACGAGTTATCGTGTACACATTGGCGTGCACGTAATAGAAATCTTGGCAGTTTGAATTCGAAATAAGAGTAAGCCGCATTGCCACTTACCGGGCACAATCTCCTTCTTTATTAGCCCAGTAGATGCAGAACATTAGGACGTTAATCCCATTTCATTAAGGTAAGATTAAAGTCGGATAAAGGAAAGACCTGAGTGTGTAGTTTTTGTAATAGGCACTACTTTGAAATGTATAGCTCAAGTTACATCGGTTGAGTATTTGGTCTAAACTTCCCTACCGATGACTACAACTTACCTTTGCTGTAAATAATGTCAATAAAGTTTGAGCAAAACATTGTTTTAATTTGTTTGGACAGAATCTAGGTTTTAAGTTTAACTAAATAAAGTTAGTGATATAACCTAAGCGGCAGAGTAATTAATAATCAGATATGAAAGTTCTCAGGATGATATGCGGGTAGACCTCAGGTAGCATGTGTTAGTGCAGCAATCAAAAAGAATGTTGCGGTCAATTCGAAAACATTATGATGCTTTATTAAACACCTGTTTCAGAAGCCTGGACCGTGTGGTGTTATAAAGCACATAGTTTAAACTTTACTGATATTTAAATGTTTCAGGCATGCAAGGTGGTTGTCTGCAGAAATCTTTTGAATGTAGTAGCATTTCACAGAAGATATTATCCATCAATTTTTCTGATACGTCAGCTATACAAAACTTGACGCCCGTGGTTTGCTCGTAAGTTTATTTTTGTGTTTTTGTTTGGGAGACCCGGGGAGCTGACAGATGTGATAAGTGGTAATTAGATAGTATTTTAGAGAAACATCTATCCTTTGTTAAGGATACGTTCCATGTAGCATAATTTGGCCGTCTTTTCGAGATCTAAACTAATTTTTGTCCGAATAAAGATTGGTCAAACATACATTATGCAAGAGCTAAATCTGCCAATTGCACGTCTTTCTTTAGGCCTTAAATGTTATCTAAATTATTAATTAGACATGAATTAACTGATCCAGACCATAATCGATGTCATTGCTAGCCTGCGATATTTTCTGTATTAGAACCCTATCGGCTGCTTAACGCTCATTGATAATTCAATTAAAAACTGGATAATCGAGACTATGTTTTTTTTTTTATCGTACAGGCATAAGTAATGATGATCGAGGCTAGACCCAAAATTCAATCGCTAAAATCTCGGTTCAGAGTGGATTAATTTGACTGAAAGTTTTAATTTCCTTTACATTATCTAGTTTTTAACTATTAAAATGAGAACTGCCAGCTCTTTATCTAAGCTCCCATAATGTATCTTGATTAGCACAAGCATCACTCATACGCCTTACAAGTGTGATACATACCGCCATCTCCATTAAAATTTGATGACAGTTAAAAAGTTATCCAATATGTTCATTTATCGCGACTTTCAAACATAAAGTATTACTAATATTTTCAGTACAATGACTAACTTGACTACATGTCATAATCAGTTACAACAAGAATGCCCAAACTTAATGCCCGCGAACGCTACATCACCCATAGATTCTCTGAGACCAATGTTTGACCAAATGTGTGGAGCAGGTATGATATTATTTCTGGGGGAGGGGAGGAGGTTATATTGCAAAAGAAAAAAACTCATAGTACAAAGTCCAATTCATCATTTCAATGTTTACATTCACAGTAAGTTACATATCAATATATGCTCATTAATTTAAAATTTTTATACAAAGTCTATCAAGTATTTTTTGATACATTATTGCTCTTAATTTATACGGCTGACCCTCGGATCCATTCACTTGATTTGATATTTGTTGTTTATTTCTTGCAATGTCTATAGTTTGTCTTACCAGTAAGTTAGTCTTGTCGGTTTTGTTTTGCATGTAGTGCGCCCCCCCCCCCCCCCTGCACTTACATTGACTGACTTTTACTCTGGCACGTATTTCCTTTAATTAATTGTATTTCCTTTTCTATTTAGGAGGATATTGTCTGGGGTGTGTCACACCGTTTATGGCTTCTGGCTGTCAAAATACCTCTCAGGACGATTATGAGGGTACATATAGATGTTGCGGGTAAGTCTTATTCATGACATATTATTTTGTTAATATATAATATAAAACTGGCTGTGTTATGGGATATACAGTAATGTTTATAATCTGACTACTTTCTCATATTTTAAGTAATAACCTCGGTTGAGCCCAGGTGTGTCTGATGGGGATGGGTACATTTCTCTTGATTAACCGTTAAAGCTAGATCATGTGCTGGCTTGTGTGTAGGGTTGGGTAGGGCCGAGTGACGTTGTTTGAGCATGGGTTATGGTTCCCGTGACTGGCGTGTATTTTGTTTGCGCAATCTGCGATGTGCCTACATACTCCAAATATGTATAAAATTGGTCCCTTCCGTTCTGGAATATTACATTTTTTATGGCGTCATTTATTGTTTTGTTGTTTTTTTTTGATAATAAATAACTTGATCCAGGGCCCAACATAGTGCGTGCCGGTCCTAGGAACCAAAAGGGTATTGGTAATGATTGGTTGGTCACAAAATGTCTTTGGCAAGAAATGGCGTATTATTACACCAGACAACATGAACATACACTGTCAGGTTATCGCTAACCAACTCAGATTGTCATCTTACTTTTCCCCTATTATTGTCAAGCATAGATTAGCATAGATCGCTAATGTGATGAAATCAAATACCCTAGGGTGCACAAAATTGTCTCAGTTTTCAACGTTCTTACTTTTGGTGGTGTTAAAGGGCTAACGAAAAACCTGTACACTGTTAAAATTTTATGTATATTTACAGTTATCAGTAGGCCTATAGTAAAACATACAGTGCCGATGTACATGCATATGAATACAAGGCTTATGTAAGATTACATCAAACGTAATGTAGAAATACAACATGTCAGTTTACATTATGTGAGCTGTATATTAACAGAAATGTCGTTTGAAATATTATTTTTTACAGAAAATTGTAAATTTGCTGTCAAATAGTGATCACATCGGTTATTCCCCCCTTTGGCCACATATATCTAATTTTGTGCAAAATATTTACTGTTCTGTCAGTCAGTTTAGTGCATTTTAGAAAAATAGGTTATTCAAAATCTGAATGCACCGAACTGGCTAATAAAGACAGGCATATGTCATACATTGGGTTGTGTGGAACATTTTGCTTTGACGGTGTCATGCCACCTATTCTTTCCATTGTAGGGAGTAGAACAGTAGGACATTAAACCCCGTAAAATACGGACGTAAAATACAACTAACTAACAACAACAATTTCTTAACATTATCGAATATTGTTTTACATGCTCGGCTGAAAGGTCCGCAAAACTTTCTGTGTTCGCCAGGATCGAGCCTAGCTAAGAGGGGACAACCACATTTCTGCTGGTAATGTTACCATGACAAATTACATATGTAATTCTACAATAGTTATGAGGTATTATTACATAAACTGTCAAAATACACAATATGTTTTTGTTTTAAATGTCATTGTACAAATTATGTAAATTAACATCATGGTAATTGACATGTACACCATTTACAGTTATGTAAACACATTCTTATATATCTATTCCGCGATCTGAATAAGATACTGAAAAGAGTGTTAACTGTGTAGACATTCATGTTTTTTTTTTCAATTTACACGCACATATCAAATTCTTATTTCTTCATTGTATCTGTCAATTGTTCTTTCAAGTTTATCTGGACTTATAATAATTGCTTTCTTTCTTTCAAGTGTGAGAGCCACGGTGGCTAACCTGGAAGTTGGGGGTTTGCTCCCGGTGTTGGCCGAGAAAGTTTATCGGGATTCTCCGGCGTGGTGCTACTTATCAGTGGTGTGCATAACAGAGGGTCTGACAAGGACAGTTGTCTAGTCGTTCAGATGGAAGAAAGACCGTGTACACATCCATTGGCAGATGGAATTCGATATAAGAGTAGGCCGTAACGCCGATGTCCGGACAATTTCCCACATAGCACACTGCATGGCGTATGCCCGTCTTCATTAACCCAGTCTTCATTAACAGTACGTTAAACCCCGATTTCATTTCATTTCATTTTATTTTATTCCAGTGTTTCCTATGAGATGTTTAATTGTTTTAAAAGAAATCAATGCACACAGATGCCAATGTTCGGGGATACCCAGCTCTTTCAATTTGCTTTAGAGAGGCAGTGTTCTGGATACCAAGGTAAAAAAATAATATTAATATACGTTGCTAACAGTTTAACTATTTTACAAAAATATGTTTAATTGTTTTACAAGGCCAATGTTTTACAAAATGAACTTTAATCCATATCGATAATGCATATCAAATATCTCTATAGAGTCTTCAGTAAAATTTTTAAAAAAAAATATAGAGTGGATTTTCATATTTACAGCAATACTGTTAAAGTTTTACTTCCATACATGTTGTAAGTACACATTACATTATTGCTGTCTATGTAGAATCTGAAAATCATGCATCTGGTATGATTACAAATGTATCCTTTCTGTTTTATAGTTTTAGAGCTTTTTACAACTCATTTCTAATTTCAGAGTATTGCCCTGGTCTCAATGCTTGTTTAAGCTCTTTCGGTACAAACCTGGATTTATACACAGTTTGCCCGTATGTTTATTTTTTTATAGTTTCGATTAAATAATTCCACCCATCCATCAAGTTTGTAATCATTTTATTATGTTTAACTGGTTAATTGTGTACTAATGTAATCTGTAGGATATAAATGTATATAATAATAGGAAACTAAACGCCATACTTCCCATATACATATATAACTCCAAATATATACTTATATAAAAGTTTAGCTCTGGGAAGCATGGGTCAAAATTGACCTGGTTGATAACTGTAGTGTGGATATAAGATTTGGGGAAACAATGTATTTTTCGATAGCAAAAAGAAGATCGTCTGATTTGTAGTTTTACAGTACAGGTAAACTCTCCTACCCTCGCCCCCAATAGTCACAAATTCCTGTCGCTTATTCTTGTTATAAGTAATTTTCATACATGTATTTTATTTTATTGGCACAACAATGTGAGCGATAATACTGTTCTTTATTCCAACAGACAAATGAACAGTTTTATGACGTGTGTGAATACAGCGTGTAAAGATAAACCAAAAGTAGGAGATCTGACAATTATGAAAATTATGCCTCTATATCAACAAATATGCACCGGTAAGAACTTAATAAGGCTGTTGATTCTCGTATACGGCTAAGTGGGTAAGACGCTGGCTCGCTAGCCTGGAGGTCGGGCGTTCGATCCCTGCATTGGCCGAGCAAGTTCATCCAGATTTTCCGGCGTGATTCCCCCTAGTCAGTGATGCAGGACGGAGGGCCTGACAAGGACAGCTGTCTAGTCGTTCGGGTGGGACTAAAAATCGAAGTCCCGTGTACACATTGACGTGCACATAAAAGATCCCTTGACAGTTGGAATTCGATATAAGAGTAGGCCGTAGTGCCGCTGTCAGGGCAAAATTTCACTCATAGCACACTGTATGGCGTGTGCCCGTCTTCATTAGCGTAGTTCGGAGCAGAACAGCAGGACGTTAAACCCCATTTCATTTCATTTCATTCCTTGATCCATGCACGACCAGACTATAGGCAGTTGATACTCTACTGTTGTGGATGCTCAGCGTCACTAAGTAATATTTTTGCTGCAACTTTTAAGCTTCGAGAATGTGGCTCCGTGAAAACAAGCATCATTCATTGCACAGTCATGATTCGTAGTTTTGTAAATTGTGGGGGGTTTTTAGAAAAAGAAAAACAGAGAAAAAGCAGGATTTAAAAACTATAAAACGATATTTATTCCTGATATATTTAGAACTCTACTTTATAGTTACTAATTAATTTTCACAGGTTTGAGTGCCTACCCAGCCATAGGTACCTGTCAGACATTTGGTACGTGTACACAGAAAGGCGTCTTTGCTTTAATACCCGAACCAATAACACTCAAGTCAATCTCTGCTGTTGGCAATCCCGAACACTGGAGCAAGTAGGATAGAAAATAGTTTCTTGATCATTTAGAGGCATTTATTAACTGAATAGAGCAATAAACTATGTTGTTTTCATGCCTTTGATCTTGTTGTTGCCATGCATGGTTTCTGATTTGTTGCCATTGCAGAAAAAGAAACGTCAGGTTGGTATGTTACTCTGAATAGACGTATTGCATAAAACCTACCAAATGTTTTTATTGTATATTTGTGACCACATCTCCAACTTTACCTGAGCGATAAGGCTCCTTCCCAAACACAAAATTGAACCCAGGGAATGTTCTAAAAAACGCAACCTGACTTCTGAGATGGTAATGTGTACTCCATGATTTTCATGTAACACATGCTGCACCCACTGTTCACCGGGACCAGCCCTATAAAATGCACCCCTATACCTGGTTAAATCATTCACACTACAACGTCAGCAGAATGTAACGACTCACGATGGCTCAGAGGAACCAGGTGCTTGGAAAACTCGACGCTGGCCACACTGCCCAAGCCTTTGCCAATCAATTCCAGGTTAATGTTCGGACCATCTACAGGCTTGAGCGACGCTTTCGGGCCACCAACACCACGGATAATCGCCCCGAAGTGGTAGACCAAGGGTTACCACAAGGCGACAAGACCGCCATGTTGTGCGACAGCACGTGCAGAATCCCTTCACACAGGCATCTGAGACAGCACATCAAACAGTGGGAACACACGGAAGGCCCATCAGTACCGATACAGTGCGCCGACGTCTCGCCAGAGAGAACATCCATTGCCGTAGACCTTACCGTGGACCGATCCTCACCCCTCGCCATCGACGCGAACGTCTACAGTTTGCCCAACAACACCAGAGCTGGCGACCCAGGCAATGGAGAACGTTTCTGTTCACAGATGAGAGTCGGTATTGCGTATCAACTGCAGATGGCAGGACAAGAATATGGCGTCGACGTGGCCAGCGTTATTCTGACCAATGTGTCATGGAACGAGACTGATGGGGCGGTCCAAGAATAATGGTTTGGGGTGGAATCCGCCTGAACCAGAGAGTGGGTCATGTGGTGTTCCAAAATCTTGGTCCAGAGAGGGAAGGCGGCATCACATCAGTGCGCTACATCAATCAAGCTCTCAGACCCCACGTCATACCACATTTCGCACGTCATCGAAACAACATTTTTCCAGCATGACAACGCCCGTGCCCACACCGCCAGAGTTACTCGGGACTTTCTACAGCAGAACGATGTCAACGTTATGCACTGGCCAACCCTTAGTCCGGACTTAAACCCGAATGAACATCTTTGGGATGAACATCAGAGGAGACTTAATAACGTCGTACCGAGACCAAACACGGCCGATGGATTGCGCCAGGCTTTTCTGAGAGTGTGGTTCCAGGTGCCAATGGCGTTCATCAATCATCTGGTTCACTCCAAGTACAGATGCTGCGCTGCTGTTTTTGACACTCGCGGTGGACACACCAGATACTGATGTATAGACTGTGTACATTCTCTAAACATTCTCGTAATGTCTTGGAATTGAGATGAATTAATCACTAATGTGTCAACACACTGTTCACAAAAAATTGACATCTATACTAACGGCTGTTAAAGAGGGTATTCAAAAATACTGTGACAAAATATACTCTCGTAGTGGTATAAATCAAATGTGGATATTGAAAAATTCCAAAGAATTACTTGATGGTTTGCAATCTAGATCCCTTGCTTCAGTCTCATCTATTCAAACGTTTGACATTTCAACTCTGTACACTAAAATTCCCCACAGTAAATTAAAAGCCCGGTTGAAAGACATTATTCACAGTGTCTTTTCGTCTAAATCAGGTACAGCTAGATATCAATATTTAGTTGTAAATTACAATTCCACATATTTCGTTAAGAATCACAGTGATTCCAAAAACAAATTCACGGCCATCAAGATAATTCAGATGTTGGATTTTTTAATTGATAACATCTTTGTTTGAATTTGGAGGGGAAATATATCAGCAAGTGGTTGGCATCCCCATGGGCACCAACTGTGCACCTTTGCTTGCTGATCTGTTTCTCTATTCCTACGAAGCCGATTACATACAGACGCTCGTAAAAACTAATAAACGATCAGTCAGACATTTTAATTTCACTTATCGATATATCGATGACGTTTTATCCCTTAATAATCCTAAATTTAGTGATTATGTAGAATTCATATATCCTGATGAGCTCGAAATTAAAAACACCACTGACAGTGACAATTACGCTTCCTACTTGGATCTGCGTCTCGATTTTGACAATTGCCATAAACTGAGTGTTAAATTGTACGATATTTCCATTTATTAGTAGTAACATTCCAATATCACCAGCTTATGGAGTGTTTGTGTCTCAGCTAAATCGTTACGCGAGAGCTTGTTCCTTTTATTCTGATTTTTTACGTAGATCGAGGCATTTGTCATCTAAGCTTCAACTACAAGGATACTTGGGCACTAAACTTATTAAAACCTTTAAAAAGTTTTATGGCCGTCATATTGATTTGATTGATAAATATAACGTTTCTCTCTCGGCTATTATTCTAGATATATTTAATTCACACGTATACTATCTCCCTGATAATGTCTACTACATCGTTAACACAGTTCATCGCGTGCATTTTGCATACCGATAGTTCATTGGCCAATCACGCTTTTTTACTGACATTTCGCCTAATAGTTTGGTTGCAGCTATGGCGGGTGTGGCGCCAGGCAGGGTAAGCTTACTCTTCCGGACACCTGTTACCACTGTTTGTCGTGTATTTTGTACACGAGGAGCAGGCCATTTGCTGATTACACTATTTTGCTTGAATACACTATTTTGCCTATAACGTTTTTTATACTTTGGATTGTTCGTACTTGGTTTTATTTTATTTGATCCGTTTAGTAAGTCGTTTTCTAGAATGATTTGATTAAAGTGCCTCTCTGATTTTGAAATCGTACTGACGTTTTTTTATGTTTAGTATATAATTGCCCTACACATTTGTTACTGTACTTGCTTGAAAACATTGAGAGAATACTCTTCGAAACGTCGCCTAAATAAATCAGCAATTGTTCTTCCATAAGTATGTGTTATAGTTTATAATAGTTTCTTATTTATTAAATATCAATCTATTGAAAAGTCCAATTGTTCTTCCATAAGTATGTGTTATAGTTTATAATAGTGTCTGATTTATTAAATATCAATCTATTGAAAAGTCCAATTGTTCTTCCATAAGTATGTGTTATAGTTTATAATAGTGTCTGATTTATTAAATATCAATCTATTGAAAATCATTTAAGCCCAGTCCCTTGATGTCCAGTATAGGACACGATTTCTACAAGACAGTGTAGATCATTGGGAGTCAGGATTGGCTTTGCCTTGCTTCAAACGCTTACGTTTTGCAAGAGATGGACAGAGAACAAGCTCAAAAAAGAACAGATGTTTCTTACAATCAGGGGCCATAATCCAGGATGTTACTGTCCGATATGCGTGAATATCATCCGGAACCGAGATTGTCCGGATATAAACATATATTTTAAGTTTCATCAAAATCGGGTAAAAACTGTGACCCCTAGAGGGTCCACAACCTTTGTGTTACATACTTTTACACTATTTGCGTAGAAGGAGCGGGCATTTTGTAGGGCAGTTTCCTACCGATTATTACGAAATTCGAACTCAACCGTAATTAGGGTGTAATGATGATATATTTAAACATTTTTAAAATCGGATAGATTTTTCATGCAATCAGGGGCGATAATCAAGCATAATCAAGCATGCACGAATATCGAAAGGAACCAAGATCTTTGCTCCATCCTACATCAAAAATCTCATCTTCACCTATTTTCCAGGAAAATGTCTACGATCTTCTTAAAAACATCTATTAATGTACCATCCACGAGCTTAGAAATGACCAAACGTTCACCACCCTTTCATATAAAAGAATCAAAGTCCGTCTGCATTTTCAAAACAAAACTGAAAACTCACCTGTTCATACAACACTGTGGGATGAAATGGAACCAAAATGTATAACTTTGCAAGCGCATTTCAAACTCCTAATACGAGTATTCATTGCGCTATATAAATTTGGATGTTAGGTTATGTTATGTTATAAACATATATTTTAAATTTCATCAAAATCAGATAAAGATTGTGGCCTCTAGAAGGTCCACAATCTTAGTATTACATACTTTTAGACTATTTGCGTACAAGGAGCGGCCATTTTGTCAGGCAGTTTCGGTCCTATTTACTAGAACGGCTAATGGTATATTCGAATGTGTATATTGTGTTTACTTGAATAGCTAGAGGTATGTCTAAATGTGTACATTGTGTTTTACTAGAATGGCTAATGGTATAGCTACGTGTGTATCAGCTGCAACTACACCTTGTAATCTAGGAGGAAATAGCGTTGCTGATGCAGCTGCTATAAAGACATCGACTGATACAATATGTAATGGCGGTAAGCGTTATATGTAAAAAGTAATAGAATTCGTCCAATCATTCACAGTTTTAAATGGATAGGGGTCTGGCATAGTCATTTTGCCTTTTCGCCGATCTCCCATCCCTTTATAGTGAAGAACCTTGGGATTTTATCGCGTGGCTGGCAAGGAAAGTGGTGCCTAAATTGTCATTCGATAAAAGCGGAAACGAGCCCGATATCGAGATGTCTTTAAGCCGCGATATAGTGGAGTAAATTAACCGAAAAATAAAACGGAATAAAAGGTCGGTGTAATTATAGTCAATATTAACACTGTTTCCAGGAAACTGGCTTTTATGACTGGAGACTTAAACTGGGCTTGAAATTATTTTAGAATAACTCCATTATTATAGCTAACAAATTTTTGTTATTCTTTTGTGTTCATTTTCGAATTCACCCGTCAAAGTAATTTTGTGTGATCTAGCCCTAAACATTGTGTCATAACAGCATCTGTAGATCCATCGTTTAGTTGTTTCAGTTTCCGAATAAATTTATGGGTTGTTCATTTTTTAAAAAAAAAAAATATATATACAATATTATCAATGTATTTGGGTATTATATTATTCAGTTAGAGATCCTTGTCCAGGAGTAGCAGGATGTTTTGCCACGTTGGGAAGCGGTCAATCCCTGTTGCAATCATGTTCGTGAGTAAACACATATTAATTTATGACTGTTCCTTCGTCAAACCTATAAAAGATGTTTCAATGATTTGGAATTTGTTCATTAAGATTTTAAATTACAATATGTGTCGTTGTGTCAATGTGAAAATTGGATGTTACAAAATAATTACGACTTTGCATCACGTATATCTATGGCTTTAAATTTTTTCTTCTCATTTTTGGCAGTAAAATAAATTCCGTGCTTTGTTACATAGAGCTTCAATTACGACTTTTACTCCCTCCATGTATAGGGAGGTATATAGCTGATTTTCATTAATTTTTTAAGTAATATTCCGGCCTTTGTAACATGTGTTACTACAGCTTTAGACACTTGTGGTGAATCAAGTAAAGTGAAGGCCAGTTATAGTTTAGTTGATATTCAAAAATTGGTTACACAGTCTTGTACAGGTATGTTATTATGATTTACATTTAGCTTCAGCTTGCGTTCAGTTTCTTTTGGGTATTGTTCAGAACTTAATGTATCAAAAATAATATTTAAAAAAGTAAACCCAGCTGAATAAGGTGATAGAGCACTATAATATTAAAATACGTTTTCTTGAACTCCAACAACTTTGAGCGAAGAGACTTCATTCTCACGTTTGTTTGTATAAATTTTGTGAATTATTGTTTTTCTATCATATTATTATTATTTACTTGATTAAACATAAATCTTTATTCATGACAACATTTTTTATTATAATTTATATGTAGTGTTTCCAAATTTTGCAAGCTGCCAGCAAACACCAATCTGTCTGCCGATTGACCTACCCTTGGGTCTTGCCGAGGTCACGGACAAAGTCTCCGACCAAATATTCTGGTGCAAGTATGTAGTTTATTATTAGTGATATAGAAATGGATTAAGTTATGGTTTGTTTTGTTTTTTTGGTTTTTTTTTACAAAATCCCTTAAAGATCGTGTCAGGGACCGAAAATAATAGAAATTCATTGTATTCATTGTCTACCGAACCCGTTAACCGCCCTACCCACGGTTAGAATTGTTCATGTGAATCACAAACTATGCAAATGTGTAGTTATCCGACTTTTCATCGCTTGATATAAAAAAGATTTATACTTTAAAGATATTATACATGACAGATTATTGACTATCATTACAGCTCACTTAAATCAATACTGAAGTGTATGACAGGATATAGTCAAACCTGTAACCAAACAGCTACTGTGACCCAAACTCTAACCAATTTGCTCAACCAGGTTAAAGTTCACTGTCCAGGTAATACATTTTTATAATATGAATATTGATTTACAGCAAACATTTAAACCTACCTCATTTTAATTCAATAATTGTATTGTTTTCAAATATTATATCATGTGAAATTATCCCAGTTAAGAGGGGTTTTTTGGTTGCAAATGAGAAAGTAAGGAATAAACAGGCACATTTTATCTTATTGTTTCGTTATGTTTATATTTAAAAATACAAATCTTGTTATTTTATAGATGCGGGTGGCTTTGAAGAAACGACAACGGTTGTTACCCCTGGAGGAAACAATACAGCCGTTTCTGGTATACTCCCCATTTAAACAGATATTTTATTGGCATATAATTTGGATATTGATTTATAGGAAACATTTAAGTCTACCTCATTTTAATTCAATAATTGTATATTGTTTTCTCAAATATTATATCATGTGAAATTATCCCAGTTAAGAGGGTTTTTTTTATTTCAAATGAGAAAGTAAGGAATAAACAGGCACATTTTAGTTTATAATTTTGTTTTGTTTATACTTAAAAAACACAAATTTAACTGATCTTAGTTTAAATCTTGGATTCTTCTTATAGCAACCATTTGGATATTTAATATCCACCAACCGTTGCTAAGTAACAGATTACTAAAAGAATATACATTGTAACATTTCTTCCGTATAGAAAATGATTATTTTGTTGGTATCGAGTGTGCTTAATTTTTTTATTTTGTAGATGAAGGTGGTTTTGAAGAAACAACAACGGTTGTTATCACTGAAGGAAACAATACGGCCATTTCAGGTAATTAACTTCCCGTTTAAAACAGATATTTTATTGGCATAGAGATGGTTTTGTTTGTTAATTTAAGTACACGGTCGGCTGCGATTGGTGGAATTCAACTGACAATATCCATACAAAATAAGGGGTTTATCAAAACTGATTTTTTGGTGACTTTTTAAAAAAATTAATATGCACTCTTTAACTTTGTAAGCATATTAAGTCTGTCGAATTCCAAAGAATTTTTGTTAATTTTGCTTGATTCCAGTATGGTAGAATGCAACTGGGCGTAAAAATCGTATTATAGCGTTGTGTACTTTTTTAAATTGGTGTTTGGTGTTTCAAAACTGCTTTTCTTTTTCTTTTTCAGTGGAGTCCAGTTTAATGTTAGTACTGGTGGTATCATATGTTATCAGCTTTCATTAAAATAACAAGAACAACCTGACCAACACCCCAATTTATTACGTTTTATAATATCTCATTTGAACTCACTAGTCTCGGCATCGAATTGTCAGCAGAAGTGTGACCAAAATATCTGTTTATTTACAGCTTTTATAAATCTAATTTTTAAAATATATTATTTGTTCTCGACGTCAGAGAAAGCGATTTTATGTAGTTAATTAATATGCTTGCTTGTACGAATATGATAGAAGAAATATTATTACTTTATTTGTCTAAAATGTCGGCGTGAAATCATATCAGTGAATGTAAACTTTAAACGGTTGTAAGTGAAGTAAAAATAGATCGATTGTTTAATAATCTTTTGAAATATAAAGTTCTTTTGGTTGTGTATAGTCCTTGTGTATATTTAACCACACGGCTGTGTATAGTCGTATTTGTTATTGTATATCATCTATATTTTAGGTAGGCTATATTTGTATAGTATGACGGTATATTAGATTCAAAATTTTTAACGTGCTATCGTCTGATTTCAAATTTCTATTCATGTAATTTCTAAATTAAGACAATGTATAATCTAATTTTTTTATTTGTTCGACTCAATTTTAAATCTATTTCGTCTTCTATCATTAAGACGATACATTTCATTAACGCTTTACACGTTTAGAATGAATATCGAACAAATTTAGAATTTTTACAGTTCTGCCTAGCGACCATCGTTATGAAGTCGTTTGGTGTCGCCACTTCGTGCTGATTTGGTGATTGAGTACCTGGTCGGGACCATATGTTGATATAAGCGACTCGCTTTTCGTCTGGTTTTATGGTTGATCGGAGTGCTAAAATTGAAAACAATATCGAACGTGATATAGTTTGCAAAAACTATTTCAAATATAAACTAAATAACATTTGTTCATTTTTTTAAGACAAGTGAAGGATTTGAAGAATTTTATTTTTGTATTTTTTTATTTTTTTTTTTTTACAGTTAAGCCAAATTTTGATTATACATTATACACGTTCGAATTTTGAATCTGATATACCGCCATAGTATAGTGTGTATATACCACAATGCTTATTATAATCTTGCTTCTGTAAACATACAATCCACCAGATATATGTATCCTGTTTATTACTCTGTGATATAAAACCTTTTTATAGCTCAATTTTGGATTTCTCACAATAGTTTGTGAGTGGTAAATAGTGATATTGTCGTCTTCCGCGTCTGTCGGACCTTCAAACTTCTGGTAATCATTCTACAGGTCATTGTTTTTCGAATTTGAACGGCGTATTCAAAATTAGAGTCGAAATTCATATAGGCCATCAATAAGTTACTGAGTTCTTGTCCTAGACATCAAATCCGTGTTTTCGCTTTCTGGACGAGTTGAATTGTTTGATTAATTATATGGATGATAAATCCTCTCCAAATTCCAAATTCAGCTTTGCTTGTAAATTGATTATTGAATTATTGCACCTGTAATCAAAGTCGCCTCCTCTGCCATCCTCTCTGCACGCCACTGTTTGGACTGAAATGTTCATTCAACCATACAGCTATGCCATAGGCGTTCAAAGCCGATATATAGTGAATATATTACCCAATTATGTTCAGTAGGATAATAAACATCAACAGATTAACAACGTATAAACAACATGTTGCACCTGGCAATAGAGATTTAACTGATCTTAGTTTAAATCTTGGATTCTTCTTATAGCAAACATTTGGATATTTAATATCCACCAACCGTTGCTAAGTAACAGATTACTAAAAGAATATACATTGTAACATTTCTTCCGTATAGAAAATGATTATTTTGTTGGTATCGAGTGTGCTTAATTTTTTTATCATCGTCGTCATTCGACAAGTTCAATCGAGTTATTCCATTGTCTTACTCTTCTCAGCTCGTTTTTGTTTAAAACCACCTGAAGTTGCCATTTTAACAATTTTATACAGACATTTCGTCTACTTTAATGAGCAATGTATTAATTCTGCGATATCACTACTCTGGAAGCAGACGTTAACCCCCAGCTACTACTACTACTTTAGAGCAACTCCTTCTTTTTGATCTACCAGTCTAGGAAGTTATTTGTGCATTTATATGTCCCTTGAATTCGACCCTGGAAGTATAAAGAAAACTGGGAGGGAGGGGGGCACCACTTTATATAGCTGCTCATAACACCCTCGCTATTCATGTTAGGGGCTAATGCCCCGTATACTTAAAGACGTGGTGGATGTCGTCACATCCTTTTTTCAAAACTCCTCTTACACATTCATTTAATTTCTAAAATCCATTAGAAATTACGCAAAAAAAAAATATTGTTTCAAAAAGGTAGCACTTCCCTTTAAACAGCTTGTTGATATCTAATGTAATAAATCGTTTCGAAATGATTTTACAATCAATATAAACGTCTAGGAAATTTGAAACTTAACACAATACTTCTCGGGTGGATTAAATATGGTTCCATATTTTAAATTTGTTTTGTCTTTATTAGAGATAAAGTTGATATTCCAATCAATATCGAAAATATAATAAGATTCTATTTAAGGACTCCAAGATTTCTGATTACAATTAAACGTGTGCTTAGTTAACCCCCAAAAACAATTTTGCGAACACTGCTTGCTACCCTCGATTTTAAGAAATTGGAAGCATTTTCGCAATCAGCCTTTCAAAAAATCATTGTTTATGGCACGGGTAGTAGGGGAAAAAGATCCAAAGTATAGGCAGTCTATAAACATGATAAAAGTCCTGAATTAATACAAGGGTTGAAATGGCAAGTTGTTTAAACACGAATTGTGGATAACGCGACAGAGGAAGGGAAATAACTCGAGTGAACTTGTGGAAAATAGTCATCGTCTTGGATAATAAAAACAAATCAAACACACTCGATCCAAACTAAATGATCATTTTCTATGCGGAAGATATTTTTAAATCTATATTTTTAGGATTTAATAATATGATACTTAGCAAAAATCAAGCACACTCCATCCCAACCAATTGATCGTTTTTTTTATTCGAAAGAAATGTTTCAATCTGTATTTTGTAGTATTAAAAAGTACGCTACTTAGCCATGATTGGTGGATATCCAACATTAAAATGGTTGCTATAAGAAGAATCCAAGATTTAAACTAAGTTCAGTGGATTATTTACTACCAGAAACAGACACATTTTTGACATTTCATATTTCTGTAATATGCACAATGACTATAGCCACACAGTTGTATCTGGTTTATATACACCAAGGATGGACAAAGCAACATTGTTACAAATATTTATTCAAATATTCTTCTATCACCTACCAAAATGATGTCATCACCTAGATTCCTTTGGTCTAGTGTATAACAAAATTCACGATGGGCAACTCCATTTAATATACCCTCATGTGACATCATTTATTTAATAATTCGTTCATGACCTACGAAAATGACTTTTCAGTCTATAGACTCCTTTGATGATTAACACCTTCCCCATTTGTGTCAGCTGATTATATACTAAGCAGCAAAAGAAACGTCAGGTTGGTATGTTACTCTGAATAGACGCACTGCATAAAACTTGCCAAATGTTTTATTGTATATTTGTGACCACATCTCCAACTTTACCTGAGCTACAAGGCTCCTTCCCAAACACAGAATTGAACCCAGAAAATGTTCTCAAAAACGCAACCTGACTTCTGAGATGGTAATATGCTCTCCATGATTTTCATGTAACTCATGCTGCACGTGCTGTTCACCGGGGCCAGCCCTATAAAATGCACCCCTATACCTGGTTGAATCATTCACACGACAACGTCAGCAGTATGCCACGACTCACGACAGCTCAGAGGAACCAGGCGCTTGGAAGAGTTGACGCTGGCCACACTGCCCAAGCCGTTGCCAATCACTTCCAGGACAATGTTCGGGTCATCTACAGGCTTTAGCAACGCTTTCGGGCCACCAACACCACGGATGATCACCCCCGAACTGGTAGACTAAGGGTTACCACAAGGCGACAAGACCGCCATGTTGTGCAACAGCACGTGCAGAATCCCTTCACACAGGCATTTGAGACAGCACGTCAGACACAGGTAACACACGGAAGACCCATCTGTACCGATACAGTGCGCCGACGTCTCATCAGAGAGAACATCCGTTGCCGTAGACATTACCGTGGACCGATCCTCACCCCTCGCCATCAACGTGAACGTCTACAGTTTGCCCAACAACACCAGAACTGGCGACACCGACAATGGAGAACTGTTCTGTTCTGATATTGAAATCGTACTGACGATAACTGTATCCACAAATATATTCCCAGCTATTTGTACCGCCACTCCCCTCCACACACACCCACACACACACCCACCCACATACACACACACACCTCTTTGAATAAAATTGAGGCAAGGTTTGGCTTTCTTTTAATATGACCGCATTTGATTGAGGGCGTATTACGTTCTCGTGACCACATGTTCCGTACTTAACTCCTCTTTCCTTAAAGAACGAAACCCATCGATATTTAGCGATCAGCGATCTTCCGATTTGGAAAACTTACGTTGTCGCGACCACATGTTCCGTAATTAACCCCTCTTTTCCTAAAGAACGTGCCCTATCGATATTTAGCGTTCCGCGATCTTCCGTTTCGAGGTCACCGCACGCCACCGTTTTGGAAAACCTTGTTAAAGCAATAGACGCTACAGTTTTTTTACAGATTTTATTTTAAATTTTGGTGTGACTTATTGGATATTCAGCGAGCGTTCCATATCCCCCCCCCCCCACCCAGCTCTGGCCCCTTTTCCAGAAACATTGTTTACATGGTAGCTTCTGGGTATTTTTTTTCTTCAAATTTGTTATGAAGCATTAGGATTGTTAGAGGATGAAACCTGTGGATTTTTAAAATTGGTGTGAAGCATTAGGATTGAGGATGAGGACACCTGTTGATGTTCAGTATTTTGACAATGTTCCAAAGATATAGTATGTGTTCAAAACAACTCGTGAACACGATAGAGGTTCTAATAAAACATGTTCAACATCCAAGTTTTCCGTTCAGAAAAACTGATATCTATGGCTATCTTTTAACTTTCCGTAAGTAACTGAAATATAGAACAATAAGTGAGACATTACAATATATATCAACAACTATAGTGATGTGTCCCT